ATGATCATACTTGTAGGGCAACCCATAGCAGTACCGTCTTTTTGTCTGTAAAATTTAGCCGCATATCTAAAATAAATATTTTCTAAACATAACCTAAACCCTTCTATCATTTCATCGAATTCGCAACAATATGCTTCATTTTTAAATTTAAAAAGTAGTTAATAAGCTAGATAAAAAAAAAAAAAAAAAAAATTGAACATAATAGTTATACATCTATATAATAATCTTTGTGATTATTATTATATTACTTTATTTATTTATTTTTACTTAATTTGTTATAATTTTATTATTATATATTTTTATTTCCAAGATCATAGTCTTTAACGAGTTTAATATTTGTTTTTGACTCGCGCTTTAGATGTTGTACTAAATTCGAAGAATCACGTGAGAACGCCCTTGCAAGCCTCAGAACAATTTTTAACGCCTTGCCAAATGTTTATTTTTATTTAATTCTCCTGACGAAGACAAAAGATTTTTGTTGAAACGTTGAGAAAATAAAAAACTCCAACTGGCCGAAGTGTCTATTTTTAATATAAATATGAATGCCGGCCAGGCAACCGCTATCTTTTCGATAATTAAGACCAATTTTGGTCCCGAGGTATTCAAGATGGCAAGGCAACTAGAGAAGACTATGATCAAGTTTGCAAGGACAAAACATTCTTTATATTTTAATCACCGTATCAAAGATCTCAATATCATTCCCCGAGCCTGAATGTAAAAGCACTGGTTAAAACTCCATATGGAAGACAGATTGCTAGAAGAGCAAGTCTTCAGTTCGTCAAGGCACGCATCCAAGCATCTCACAGAATGGTAGATATACAGAAGCAAAAATTGACGAGTCAGCGAAGTGTTATTTTAGAAATATTAGATGAAAATCACATGAAAAGCCTTGAAGAGTGTATACAGAGAGGGATAAAGAAAATAGAAGAACGGCTAATGATCACAATGAGGAACAAATTGGACAGATGGGCTCCTAGAATCAAGAAGGTCGATCCTAGAAGAGTATGCAACATCTCAGGGAAGGATCTAACTGAAGATCAGTTGAGGCTTCTTGATAAAGGGTCAAACTATAGACCTATGCCTCTCAAAAATGATTACATTAGATTAATTTCTAACATTGAAAATGGAATCAAAAATTTGAATGAAAATGATAAAGTTATTATTAGAAACAAAATAACAAATGTAATATCAAGGACAACAAAAAACGAAAAGAAGTTGGATTTAGATAAAGCAAAAAGCTCAGAATGGGGGGATATCAAGAAATTAAAAAATGACGACAGAATAGTTATAACTAAGGCTGATAAAGGAGGCAAGACAGTCGTGATGAAGAGAGAAGATTACAACGATAAAATCACGAGCCTCCTCAACGATAACAACACATATGAAGAAATTCAAGGAGACCCTACTAAAAAGATAAAGCTTAAAATATCTAAATTTATCAGAAGCATGAAATCTAAGGCCTTAGACAAAAGAAAATTGAAGCTAGAAGATGTCGCTGCACCTCTTTTCAAAGGACTTCCAAAGATTCACAAGGAAGGAGTTCCCCTACGGCCCATTGTATCAGGATTCAAGGCCCCCACCAGAGGTTTGGCGGACTGGCTTAAAAACCAAATTCCGACTACAAGAAAGACTTCTGGGTTAGAAATTAGAAATAGGAAAGAGTTATTAGATATCACAAAAAATTTAAAGCTGAATGAACATGAAATAATGGTATCCTTTGACGTCAAATCGCTTTTTACCAATATTAATAGAAGTCTAGCTCTTAAAGAGCTAAAAGAATATTTCGAGGTAAAAAGACAAGATTGCACAATCAAGGGATTAGAAATCGATGAAATGATAGAAGGGTTTAGGTTATGTTTAGAAAATATTTATTTTAGATATGGGGCTAAATTTTACAGACAAAAAGACGGTACTGCTATGGGTTGCCCTACAAGTATGATCATAGCTGACATTGTAATGGCATCAATAGATAGAAAGGCAATTTTAATAGAGGGAATAAAGATATGGGGACGGTATATAGATGATGTTTTCGCAGTGATCCAAAAAGAAAAACTTAACGAGATCATTGTCAAATTAAATAATTTAGAAATAGGAATAGAATTCACCGTTGAAACAGAAAAAGAAGGATTTTTACCATTCTTAGATGTAGGATTAAGCCGTAAAGAAGATGGATCTATTCTAACCAGCGTTTACAGAAAGCCAACAGACTGTGGGATACATCTACATTTTAATTCTAACAATCCTATATTACACAAAAGGCAGGTGATAAAATCTCTTGTACAAAGAGCCAAACAGGTATGTACAGACCAAGACATTTATAAAAAAGAGATAAAGAAAATTAGAGCGGAGTTAAAACAATCCGAATATCCAGTTGGCTTCATAAATAAATGGATTAGAAGATATGAAATAGATAGGCCAAATTTGAATAGAACTACCGAAGGTTACAATAATATAATAATTCCTTATATCAGAGAAGTGGATAACGAAATATCTAGAATTTTGAAAAAATGTAAATATAATATTTGGTATAGTACTGGGACAAAAAGGGAATTTTTAACTAGAAATAACATAATGAAGGATAACATAGGCACATCAAAACCAAATAACGTAATTTATGGGATTAAATGCACAGAATGTGACAAAATTTATGTCGGAGAAACCGGCCGAAATTTAGAGACCAGAATTAAGGAACACCAACAGGGTTTATTGGGGAGAAGGGCGTTAAGCAAAATTGGGGAACATGCATTATTTTCAGGACATAGGCCAGATTGGAATGATATTGAGATATTTCATAGGAATATAAAATTTAAAAAGGAAAGATTATTTTTAGAGGGATGGGTATCACGAGAATTTGGGAAAAGAACTATAAATACTTTTGAAGATATTCCGCAACAATATGCTTCATTTTTAAATTTAAAAAGTAGTTAATAAGCTAGATAAAAAAAAAAAAAATTGAACATAATAGTTATACATCTATATAATAATCTTTGTGATTATTATTATATTACTTTATTTATTTATTTTTACTTAATTTGTTATAATTTTATTATTATATATTTTTATTTCCAAGATCATAGTCTTTGACGAGTTTAATATTTGTTTTTGACTCGCGCTTTAGATGTTGTACTAAATTCGAAGAATCACGTGAGAACGCCCTTGCAAGCCTCAGAACAATTTTTAACGCCTTGCCAAATGTTTATTTTTATTTAATTCTCCTGACGAAGACAAAAGATTTTTGTTGAAACGTTGAGAAAATAAAAAACTCCAACTGGCCGAAGTGTCTATTTTTTATATAAATATGAATGCCGGCCAGGCAACCGCTATCTTTTCGAAAACTTAATAAGTTATCCTTTTAGCATGTATATCGGGATTCAGACAATACCTCTCAAAGATATTTGATATACAGTGACCTTTATTAAAGACACGAGATAAAAAAAATTGTCTTTGTCTCCTTCAAAGAAAATAGAAAAAAAATTATCCAGCGAAATATAAGATTTTCCACTTCCTTAAGTTTTATCCATGAGTGTATAGATCAACGTATATATCAATGCGTCTTTATTAAACACACACACGAACATACGAAAAAAAAAATATATATATATATACTTTATTAAAACATAGTTTTATACATGGGAAATTTGCCCTGGAGTCTGCAAAGGAAACGAGTTTGAAAATGAACAGTTATTTACATTTAATATATATATTTAATTAAAAAGGCATATGTTGGATCAAAAAAGCACACGTAATTATCTAGAAAAATATTATTAGAAACGGGGAAAAAGGTTTAAAAAAATTATATTTTGAACCAACATATGTGTGTGTGCCTTTTTATTTGAAGATTTATTTATGGATTGCTCAAAACGATATCAACCAGTTTTGGTTATGACGCTCTACGCCTTGCAAGAACAATAGAAAGGCTTCTACTTTCTAACAACAGTTGGAACTTATATTTCAACCACAGATGTCTGTCAGCGGGAATTATTCCACTTTCTTTAATTCTAAAAGATCCTATTCACACGAAATTTTCTAGAAAAATATTATTAGAAACCGGGAAAAAGGTAAAATAAATGATATTTTGATCCAACATATGCCTTTTTAATTAAAGATTTATTTATGGATTGCTCTATTTTCACTAAAAAAAAAATATATAAATAATCCAGATTATATCAGTAATATACAATGTCAGTAAAGCTTTATATGATAAGCCAGAGATAAACAAAAACAGATCAAGATGAATTAAATAAAAACATTTATATATGATACAGGCATACATCGTTAAGTACTTTCGTCTTATGCAAAAGTACTTCAACCGAAGAACGGGGGTATTTAAAATTTCGAAACGGAATTCTTATATAGTGTTTGTGTGCATTCAGAGAAAACGATATATACACAAAATGAAAGATAGGCAAACGAAAAGTATAAAATATTGATATCATATATGGTCCCGAAGAAATATCTTTGATGCTGCTCTATAAAAATGGAATGATCTCTTTGCGCCAGTCTTACTTAAGATGGGGTTTGCTATTATCTTATCAATTTCGTTTGAAAATAGTTGATAGATTTTCTAGGAATTTAATTTTTTGCCTTTCTAAGATATTGGTAGTCAGTGAGATACAAAAAAGTTATAAATAATAATTAAAAAAAAAAAGAAGGTTCCACCGAGATTTGAACTCGGATCGCTGGATTCAGAGTCCAGAGTGCTAACCATTACACCATGGAACCACTTGTAAAAAGTATCTAAAATATTTACTTGTCTCTACAAAACAAATAAAATTATATGTGTGCAATTTTCTGAATGAAAGAACTCTGAGAGAATTAAGATTCCTTAATATATAAAAAGGATACATTTTATATGGTTCCAGTATTTTTATACAAAAGATCGTTTTTGGTGTTGAGACATTCCCAACTCTTTCGCAGTTCTTTCACTTATGATACACGAGTTTTATATGCACGCTTATTTTGAGGAAAGAAGTAGATATTTCAAACTACCTTAGAATAGTAGTTCCATGGTGTAATGGTTAGCAACTCTGGACTCTGAATCCAGCGATCTGAGTTCAAATCTCGGGTAGAACCTTCTTTTTTATATTTTCTAATAACATTTTTTTAAAACCTCGAAGTAATTTTGTATGTAGAAAGATTACTAAATCTTACAAAGATAACAACTGCCTTTCTTTTAAAAGGTCAATTAAAAAGGTTTCCGAAATTGAGTTTCTGTTTGTTTAAACAGTTTGGCATCAGGCTGCGTTTTATTCATTATATATGATATCCTGTAGAAGGTCAGAGATGTCCGAAAGCTTGAGACGGTTTCAATAGAAAGAAACTCATCTCCTTAAACCTTTTTAACTGTTTAATATGAAATTTTACCAATAATAATTTATATTATGATACATTAGCCCGCCATCTGTTATCAAAATTCGAAACTAGTATAGACGCGTATGATTCTTTTAAAAATTAAACCATTTCTACTGCCCTTACTGCAATAGAAAAATTAATAGAAGGGCCTTATTAAAGGGCAGATTAAACTGGCGAAACCGCTGGAAGGGTTCACCACTGATGAGCTAGGCTCTCTCAATAATTTTTCCATTGCAGTAAAATCAGTAGAAATTGTTTAATTTTTTAAAAAACCATACGCGTCTATAATAGTTTCGAATTTTCAATAATAATTTAAAGAGAAGAACATATAAAATGACTTAAAATGTTGTTTCCATTTCTGAAAGCGATGTTCATCTTTCTAGGCCAAGAAAAAAAATTCATTAAACAGCTAAAAGTTTGATAAAACTCTCTTCTAACATTTCCACCCATTTGCTCTGTCGGCGGAAACTTTTACTAATCTACTCCCAACAAATTTCTACAAATTTACACCGTGCGGTTATTTTATACCTTTTTTACTTCCTCCATTTTATTACCCTTGTATTTTATTTCTTTTGTTCCACAGGGAGTTTTCTGAACAATTTTAGTATTACGTATTTTATTTAATTAAAGTATATTTCACTTAAACTATTTTTTTGTTAAAAAAAATATTCCAAAATTGGCCTAATTAAAAATCAACTAACAGTTTATATTTATTCCGATAGATGGCGTAAGTCATCAGCAACTTTCAGTTGCCCGATGAGAAGATGCCTTTTTTTTTTCTTTTTTTTTAATAACAGTAAGTACAACATATCCCAGTACAATATCACATTTGTGCTTTTTTTTTCATATTTTTGTTTATTTAAATTTTAAAATATATTTAAAGGCTACGCTTTTATCTTTTAAATTAAATTGCAGTTAAGGGCATTAGAAATTGTTCAATTTTTAAAAGAATCTTATGCGTCTATAATAGTTTCGAATTCTCATAGCAGATGACGTGCTAATGTATACATGCATTTATAAAATGTATAAATAATAAAATGTGCTATTTCTACCTTTATTTTACTGAAAATGGATACAAATTTAAAGATGAAGGGTATGTGGCTTATCTGCGGTAAATAATCCCATTTTGAGATTAAACTGGCGAAACCGCTGGAAGGGTTGACAACTGATGAGTTATGCCCTTTTTCTTTTAATATTTAATCATTGCAGTGTATAGTCTGAAGAAATAACTTTTAATCATATATATTGGGGGTCGGTGGAAGGATGGTCTAAACCGTTGGTTTTCGACCGCTACGACCCAGATTCGATTCCCACATTAGGCACTTTTTTTCTGATAAAAAAAAACTATAATTGCCCCTGATTCCAACGGGGCCTGGTACATTTGTAAGTGCAAAGTCAAACTGCTTTTCACATGTGTAGACATGTAGTGCACTTACAGTAAAATCAGTCGCTAACTACCCAACATGATTATCATGGCCTGTACCACGTGTACTAGGGATAATTAAAAAAAATCATATAGATTTAAAAATAGCGTTAAAATTATATTCTCTTTTTGTTTTTTAAATAGGTTAGCCCTACTTATAACTTCCCGAGCACTATGCTGGAATTACTTGGGGGTTAAAATTTTAGTTGAATTTCTACTCATTAGCCCAAAACCATGGTCTCTAGGTGGACGCTTTTCAGTTTGCCAAAGCTGGTGTTGTGGCTTTGTCACCGACCTGAGGCCGCTAGTTTGCGGCGACGGTCAATAGATGGCGTCTAGCTTTGACGTCTATTTTTATGGGAGAGGCGACATTTGTCTTTTTAGATGTCTATACATGTAAAATTCAGTTTGAAATTTTCCCTTACAAATATGTCAGAGCCCCGTTTGTGTAGTCACTTGCAATTTTGTAGGGCTCTGGGACCATTTCTGGTTCCTAAATAACTTTACTAGGGGCCACTCAAAAAGAGCAACCAGGCTTATGATATTTACAACAATGAAAATAATACATGTCAAGGTTTTTCACATATTGTAAAAAGTGTCCAATGCGGGATTCGATCCCGGTTCATGGCTGTCGGGAATTGACGGTTTTAACCACTCGTCCACCGATTTCTTTTGGGACCATTTAAGCACTTTTTTTAGAAAATAGGTGTTCAATGAAGGATTCGATCCCGAGTCATGGCTTTCGAAAATCGACGGTTTAAACCATTCTTCTAACAACCTTCCAAAGTACTGAAAATAAAGAAACACAATCTCTGGTACCTTGATCAACTCTGGCTATCCTAACATGTTTACTTGTTGACTAACTCTGCCTTTGCCGGTCCCAAGCCCGGATGAAAAAGGAGGAGGGGGAGCAGTAACAAGCTCACTAAAAAACCTGGGCTCAGCTGGCCCGGCTGATAGTACCCTGTAAGGGCTCCTGATCCAGGGATACAGGATGAGCAGTGTTTGTACTCCATGTTAGGAGTACAACTGTCAGAGGCGGCCATTTCTTTTGGAGCTAAGTCGGCCTGCCACTGAGTAGTGCTCCCAGTCTTAATGACAAAGGCAGACGCATTCTACTTCACCCAGTCATGATGACTGTCAAACAGACACCATCAAGGGTCACAACTTGATACCCTACCTAGTATAATTGAGTGGAGATATAAGAGAGAAGAAGAAGTAGACTTGTTGACTTCAGAAATGGAAAAGGATTCTATAATCTAACAGAGAACAAATTTGTAAATAGAATATTAGAAAATGGATTTTAAGACAGGGACATGTTGTTGAAAGCAGTATCAAGAAAGAAAATAAAAATAAAGATACTTACATTGAATAAATACTTTTATACTTTAATCACTAATTTGTTAATTCTTATCTTTTGAAACAGTTCAATTGTGCTTAGATTTCTGACTAATATTCCATCTTATGGATTATCAATATTAAAAGCTTAAAAAAGAGCAAACATTCGAAGAAATGAATCAATATACTAGTAAATTATTTTCTAGTTTGTATTTTTAAAATATCATTATTTTTGTTGAAAAAAAAAGTGAGCCTCTAGACGACATTAAGATTGTTCGTAGCAACTAATGTCAGGGGATGGCATCATTTATTTTGGTCAAAAACCATATTTTCCTTATTTATAGTAAATATTATAGAGAAAATCAAAATAAAATTAATTTAATGTTAAATGATAACAAAATATTATATAGAGAATTAGCTTTATTATTATATAAAATGAATATTTTGCTAATTGCTTAATTTCATTTATGATTAGGTATATTTATATATTTACACAAAAATATCAAATCTATTTAAAATATTTCAGCTGTAAAGTTTCATCATATATATAATTAACTACAAGTACACCTTTTATAGAATTTCAAAACCTAAAATATCCCGATTAATGAACAAGTATAATTATTATTTCAATCTTTATTTCTAAAAGAAGTAGGTTGGATAAATGGCATTAAAATGAAATGCAGAAGAATGGAAATGTCAAAGCAACTGGGTTGTCAGCTGCAGCTTGTTAACCCACTCAAATATCGTTGTTTGCAATAAAAGTCACAAAAGATATTTGAATAATGCGATTCAAAAAGAACGAACGAACACAAAAGACTCAGTACAAATGTCGTCTGGTTTTTAAAAAGCTACGCCATTTTGAAAACAAGCAGAAGAAAAGAAATATATTTATTTTCTTTGTAGCTGCATACAGGTAAATTATATTATATAATTCTAAAATACATTTTAAATATAATTGTTGTTTTAAATTTCAATTAAAATGCCAAATTAACAAATTTTCTTGAGAATTCTGTTTTATTTTCGCTAGTTTAAGTAAAATTAAATTTCTACTGCGCTATATATCTTAAAATAAAAGGTACTTAAGTAAATTTTTCACAGATCTTTTAAACGTAGTATTTATACTACCAAGAGAGAGAGAATAAATTTAATTTTAAACCACACTTGTTTTTATATCAAGCGAAAAGCTATTTATGATTCTAATTCAATATTTGGCTTTTATTCTTTTATATATTTTAGTTTATCTTTTTGTTTTTCATTTATTTATGATACAAATCCCCAAATATTAGACTGTCTTCAATTATGTCTTTCGGGTTTATAACATATTTATTATTATTAAATGTAAATATATTTTTTTACTTTTTTCCTTTACAGACGCCGTAGTTGTGTGAATCCATATATAAAATTATATGAAAAAACGAAAGAAAAAAAAAAGATAAAAAGATCAGGTGTTGAAATCAATATTAAAAATGGCATATCCTGACCAGGAGCACATGTGCTCCTGTTCAGGATATGCCATTTTTAATATAAAATTATATGTCTCAATAAAGGCTTTTATTTGATGGGATTCAAATTAAATATCAGTTTATGGGTTGGCCATAATTGTATGTAACACAAAATAATACCTAAATAATTTATATTTCAGTTCACAAAATCTAATGCTGCAAATATTTAAACAATTTTAAAACGGCGGAAATCTAGTAATCGTTTAGAAAAACAATAATTTGTTTTATTTAGAGAAAATGAAACAAGAAATAATGTATATTTTGTTCACAATTTATCATCAATAAATTAAATTAGACTATTATTCATTCATTTTTTATTAAATAAAGATCCATTATGGTTTTTAAATTATCCTTACTTATTTATAGAGTTGGACGAAAAATGATTTTTAAAGGTAATTTTGTTTTAGATAGAATGCATTAAAATTATGAATAATAACGACCCAAAACGAATTCACTATA